ATTTCATTCATAGAGCTTGGCAAAAAGTTAGCCGAAAAACCATTGCAAATTGCTTTAAGCATGGGGGATTTGTAAGAAAATAAAATGATTATGAACCAGACGATGAAATTCCACTTAACGAATGGTTAGAAAAGTATAAAGACTCTGACTACGAGTATGACACAGACGAAGATGTCCCAATGTTGTCGAAGAACAAGTTAAAACCAAATTGAGTGATTTCAATTTCTTCGAATATGTGAGCATTGATAATGGCATTCTTACAAGAGAAATGTTGACCGATGAGCAAATTATAGACTCCGTAACCTCATCTACAGCTTTAAGCGATAATGAGAAAGATGACAATTTAGGTGAAACGTATTCTACTGTAGACACTAATGCTGTTCCAACCATACAAAAAAGTGTCAGAAACTCGGAATTTTCTACAATCACGCCAAGTTCCTAATCATATCTGGGAGTCATTTTGTGATCTTGAAAACTACATTAATAACATCTATTTTTGCAGCAGAAATGTACTAACAAAAATTACAGACTTTATGAAGTAGATTTCAAATTACATTTTTTTTATCTTTTTGTGTTCTTTTTAGTCATACCTACTAACATCTACTACTCTATGTAAAAATAGCGAAATAAAATACACCACTTCTTTTTGTATTATTATTCGCTTATAGCAAACTCCGGATATAACAAACCAGTTTTAGTTAATTTTTCAAGTTATATTTTTCAAGTTGTTATATCCGGACTCAACTGTATTCGAATATTCGTTAGATATTCGAGTATTCGAATAATTTTACTATTCGAATAAACCACAAAACGAATATTCGAATTTCAGATTTTTAAAAATTCCGAGCCCTAGTCTAAAAGTCTTCTAGCCCGAAAAACTAATCAGTTTCCAGCCTGACTTTTTGGTAAATAAACAGTCCTAAAACATACAATACGATAACAGATTCCAAGCAATTAAACACAATTTGGTTGAGCATGATATTAGCATTCGGTCTGTACATATCGAATCGTTATCAGTCGGGCGCAGATGTCGCAACTAATAAATTTGCGCTAAATTATCTAAGATAGAGCCGCAATTTCCGGTTATTATTCATTATTCAGGCACATTTCGAGCCGGTTTCCGCAAATTTGATGGCTGCCTATGAAAGTCTTCGAGCTCGAGTTAATGCAAACGGAATCTCCAAACAGTTCGCAGGCCATCAAGTAAGTACATCAAACTCGGATACATTTCGTACATTATTAGCAAATTGCTGGCAAAAAGGCAACAAAACCCTTTATTGGCGCATTGAGGAAAATAATTGCAACATTTTAAATGGCAATAAAAATTGTGCCATTTAGCAAGAGGCCAAATCGAGGTGTAATTGGGTTTGGCGGTAATTTCCGCATTTACCATGCCAAGATTGACTTCGCAGACAACCGATGGAAAATGTGGCTTTTCGTGTGCTTCCATCGCTGACTTTAAAAATTCCCCAGCAAATAAGCGACTTTTCAGCCTTGCCAATTCTGCAAAGGTCAAATCGATCATTTTCATTTCGTTCGCCCACGGTTCTAACTTGAGCACTTTTGCTTATTCGTTACAGAACACAAGAAGAACATTTCATCTTTGCATAAAGTTGCCAATTCGCTTGATTTCGATACTGAAAATCCACCTCACTTACTTTTCCGGTCTGTAGATGTGCTTGTAGGAGAGAACAAGAGCGTGAAGGGGCCTCGACGTTTGCTGCCAATACAAGTAGACGAAGAGGAATAGGCAAAGCAAAGTGGCAACCATCAGAGCTCGACGCACCTCGCCCTGCTTCATACTTTCGGGGCCCTGCAAATAAGCAAATAATCGCACAATGAAAACGATCTGTTAACGGCAAGTATTGACGAAAATCAAGCAAGAAAGTGAACCCTTAGCATCCTGCAATAATCGATGGTTAACTTTGAAATCAGCGCTGACCTTAAAAATTGATTTAGAACAGTTCAATTATTCAAATCCAGACAATTATAGCTATGGAAATACGTTTACAATCTGCAGGTTTTGGAGGGCATCCAAATGCATTTGTATGTTTGGTTCTTATTTAGGTGTGTATGACACACATTTTTCTATATTTCAACATTGATTATTTCACAGTTTTTCTCATGGAAACTGAAGAGGAATCGAAACAAAATAAGAAACTAGATGAAAATTGGTGATCAGAACGATTCCACGTGTTATTGCTCCACGTAAAACCCTCGAAAAAATAAATAATATTATTATTAATTACCCTTTGCGTCACAAAATTACCCGAATCGATTTGTTAGCATTTCGTACTGCCTCCTCGCAGGATATTGATTATTTCTGGAAAGGTTCGAATTTTAGTGGCAGTAAGCTGGAAAGCTCGCGGTCCGTCGCCGGAAAGTTTGGGAGCAGTTTGGCTCGTTACCGAATGGTGTAATTGTGCTTATATTCAATTTTTTTGCACATCTAACAGTGACTTTTTACGAATCTGCAGGTTAGCAACAATTAATAAAACAAGAGCATCAAAACTCCAAGCAATTTTCGAATTATTCAAGCCTGATTCCAACCAGCCAGTGCAAACAGGCTGTTAATTTGTTTTTATTTAATTGAATTTCTTTATTCGGTTTGTCAGTAATTTTCTTTGGCGCACTCGATTAATATTTATTAGCGAGAGTTGGTTCTATTTGAGTTTATGCATGCAGTTGAGCCCTCAAAACTTATATTGCCTGTTTTACTGCCGCGTTGAAACCACTTTTTTTCGAAAAATGCCCCACGTTTCGACTCTTTTTTCACGTCATTTTCCAGCTATTTTTTATGCTACATGCTCCATTCTAGACAAGAAGTTTTAATTATTTTTTAATTTAATTCGCAGCAAAGTTCGAAGCCACAGCAGCGAAAGAAATGGTTCATTAGCTGACCAACGGGACTACAACGGCGGCCTTATTTACAAGGTAAGAAAAACAGAATGTAGAAAAATCAATTAACAAATTGAACATTAAAACTAAACAAATCAAGCTTGCATTCTGGAAAATGATTCATGATTCTAGATGGCCGCATTATTTTTCTGTCGCTGTCCACGATAAATGGCCGGTTTAAGGCGTTTCAGAGGGCGCGATGTTTCCGCTATTTGTCCAAAGTTTAATTAGGGTTCAGAAAAATTGTCTGCCAGTGTAGACAGGACGGTTTCGAACTTTGCAAACAGTCCCGATAGCATTTACGTGATCGCGCCGGATTATTGGATTTACTCGGTTTCATGCTTCTAAAAGTTTTAAAGTGTGGCCTAATGAAAAACAAACTAAAAGCTGAAACACTACATTTGTGCTAATGAAGCTAAATAGTAAAAAGTTTTGATTTTAGTATCATCGTTTTTTGTTTGCAAGCTTCTTGTACTCGATGGCTATAGTAAATTTGCTGTTTTCAGGTGTAAAATATACATGAAGAGTTTTCCAATATCGTCGCGCGGAAATGAGGGCCATTTAAATGAGACGCGAATGAGTTCCCCACCTGAGCCTTCCCCTGTTCCGGTGCAAGGAGTCAATGTTTTCCTGACAGTGTAAGTTTCTCCTAATAAAACGAACTTTTTCACTAAAGGAGCAGGCAATTAAGGGGTTCGCCCCCTAAAGACCCAACCAAATCAGTTTTTAGTTTAAAGATCAATATTTATCGTGCGATAAATCTAATTTAATCCCCAATGTGTCCGCGTTCCTGTTATGGACAGGAATCAATTATGGACTGGATTAAAGGTCGAGAATATGGCAATTTACTGTTGCCTTTCCTGAACGTACGTGCGCGGTAGACGCATTTAAAATTCAAAAATCGAAACCACCACACGGAAGATCCAACTGATTAAAAATTGGCCTAATTTTTTCGGGGGTTTTAAGATAATTTTCCCTGTTTTTAGGTTTATCCTTAGTGTAGTTGTCGTTGGAATATTCCTGTTCTGCTACTGCTGCCACAAAGGGAACAAGAAACCCAGTCCAAGTCTATCAGCAATGATCTGGAGGGATCCAGGCATGCCTTTGCAGATTTATACGGTGGAAGCAGCACAAAACGTAAGAAAATACAAACAACTGAATTATTCGTGCGCAATAATCACTGGTAAAGCCATAGAAAAATCTTGGCAAATAAATCGAAAATACAACTTTTAGTACGCATCAAACCGTTGTCCCATACTGGTATTCAAAAATTATTTATAGCTCTTTTATGGTTCAATCGATTTTATTGTTGCGTTGGTGCAGGCAACGTATTCCCCAGCGAATTCCTGTTGTCACGTTTGCCTGATCCACACAAAAGGTTAAACTAAGCTACAAATGCTTTGTCTTGAACTTCTTCAACCCCACCGTAATGGTCAACCGGAGGATTTCGTACCTATTTGAAATGTCCTCGAGTTCAACATCGGCCATTTCGTGTAATGGAATTTTCCGTTATTGCAGTCGGGAAATATTTTATCTAGCTGGATCTATATCTGTACTGTCATTACCGGGCAGAAAAATGACTTTTCAGATACTCCCCAAGATCAGTGTGGTTGAAAATACTCAAAACCGGTGCGATTGTTCTCTAGATTTAATGAAAACTATCACCAAACGAATGGTGTCTCAGCAGGACGCAAAAAATAGATTAATTTCAATTTTCAAGCTGACTAAGCTGATGTTCTTTTGTCGTAAAGTTTTGCTTGTAGACGGATTTTCTACGCAAACAATGCCTTTCAATTATATTAAAGTTCATTCTGAACAAATGGGGGGAAAATGAGCGCGATTCATTGCACGAGCCTTAATTAATATGTGGTTTGATTAATCAAAAATGTCAACTAACTTTGCTTGGTTGCGAAAAGTTCACTTGCTTGTGCTTGGGGAGATTGTGCCAATGAATCTGGTGCGTTTATTGGGCTAAAGTTTCACAAACGCGAAGCGCGAGCTACTTGGATTCTCACAAGGCGCACTGAGATGATAAAAATTCGTAGAATCTCCAAAAAGCATTTTTTTAATCTGAATTTTGTAGCAGTAGTTAAGAAAATGGGGATCTTTTAAATGCCGCTGGCTGCGCTTTTCTATCTCAATAAATTTTTCGGTAATGCATTTTTGAAAGTCACTTTACAACGAAAGGTCGCACGTAAAGCGCATTCGGGTGATTAACAATTCGTCAAATCTAAAAAAACCGTTTATGTGAACTGAGTTTTGTAGCATTAGTTAAAAAAAAGAGCTCTTTTAAATGCAGCAAGCTGCGCTTTTCTATCTCAATATGTTTTTTCGTAATGCATTTTTGAATCTCACCCTATAGCGAAGAGCCGCTCATAAAGCTCACTCCGATGGAAAAAAAATCGTAAAATCCCAAAAAATCGTTGACTCGAACTGCGTTTTGTAGCAGTAGTTAAGAAAAAGGAGATCTTTTAAATGCCGTAAGCTACGCTTTTCTATCTCAATAAATTTTTCAAAAAAAATTCTCAAAAACTTTCGGTAATGCATTTTTTAAACTCACTTTACGACGAAAGGTTCCGCGTAAAGCACATTCGGATGATTAAAAATTCGTCAAATCTAAAAAAACCGTTTAAGTGAACTGAGTTTTGTAGCATTAGTTAAGAAAAAAGAGCTCTTTTAAATGCAGCAAGCTGCGCTTTTCCATCTCAATAAATTTTTCGGTAATGCATTTTTAAATCTCACTCTATAACGAAGAAAGCCGCTCATAAAGCGCACTCCGATGGAAAAAAAATCGTGAAATCCCAAAAAATCGTTGACTTGAACTGCGTTTTGTAGCAGTAGTTAAGAAAAAAGAGATCTTTTAAATGCCGTAAGCTGCGCTTTTCTATCTCAATAAATAAAAAAAAAAATTCTCAAAAACTTTCGGCAATGTATTTTTTAAACTCACTTTACGGCGAAAGGTCGCACGTAAAGCGCATTCGGATGATTAAAAATTCGTCAAATCTAAAAAAACCGTTTCAGTGAACTGAGTTTTGTAGCATTAGTTAAAAAAAAGAGCTCTTTTAAATGCAGCAAGCTGCGCTTCTCTATCTCAATAAATTTTTCGGTAATGCATTTTTAAATCTCAATCTATAACAAAGAGCCGCTCATAAAGCGCACTCCGATGATAAAAAAAACTCGCACAATGCCAAAAAATCGTTTACTTCAACTGCATTTTTTAGCATTAGTTAAGAACAAGGCGCTCTTTTAAATGCCGCAAGCTACGCTTTCCTACCTCAATAGRTTTTTCGGTAATGTATTTTTGAAACTAACTTTACAACGAAAGGTCGCCCGTAAAGTGCACTCGGACGATAAAAAAATCGTAAAATCCCCAAAAATCGTTGACTTGAACTGCATTTTCTAGCATTAGTTAAGAACACGGAGCTCTTTTAAATTCCGCAGACTGCGCTTTTCTATCTCGATAAATTTTTCGGTTATGCATTTTTGAATCTCACTCTATAACGAAGAGCCGCTCGTAACGCGCACTCCGATGATAGAAAAATCGTAAAATCCCAAAAATTTGTTTACTTCAACTGCATTTTCTACCATTAGTAAAGAAAACGGAGCTATTTTAAACGCCGCAAGCTACGCTTTCCTACCTCAATAAATTTTTCGGTAATATGTTTTTGAATCTCACTTTACAACAAAAGGTAGCCCGTAAAGCGCACTCGGATGATAAAAAACTCGTAAAATCCCCAAAAATAGTTGACTTGAACTGCATTTTCTAGCATCAGTTAAGAAAACGGAGCTCTTTTAAATGCCGCAAGCTGCGCTTTTCTATCTCGATAAACTTCTCGGTTATCCATTTTTAAATCTCACACTATAACGAAGAGCCGCTCATACCGCGCACTCGGATGATAAAAAATTCGTAAAATCCCAAAAATTCACTTACTTGAACTACGTTTTCTACCATTAGTTAAGAAAACGGTGCTCTTTTAAAGGCTGCAAGCTATGCTTTCCTACCTCAATAAATTTTTCGGTAATGTATTTTTGAAACTCACCCTATAGCGAAGAGCGACTTATAAAGCCCACTCGGATGAAAATAAATTCGTAAAATCCCAAAAAAATCGTTGACTTCAACTGCGTTTTGTAGCAGTAGTTAAGAAAAAGGGGCTCTTTTAAATGCCGCAAGCTGAGCTTTTCTATCTCAATAAATTTGTCGGTAATGCATTGTTGAAAGTCACTGTGCAACGAAAAGTCGCCCGTAAAGCGCACTCGGATGAAAAAAAATTCGTAAAACCTCGGTCAAAAGCCTGATTAAACTGAATTTTAGCAGACCAGTAAAGAAAAGGTTGCTCTTTTCTATCCGGCTGTTCCGAAAATGCACTTTTGAAACTCATTCTGCTTCAAATTGTCGCTCAAAAAATCGCAGAACCTCAGCAAAAACCTTGACCGAACTGACCTTTGTGGCACCAGTAAAAACTCTTTCATAACGTTATCAGTGGGAAAATTGACCGAAAACAATAATTTCCAGAGACTGGTCCAAATGGAGGACTACACAGAGACGGACGTTCCTCAATATCCAACCCCCAGTTCACCTCCACCTTACGACACCGTAATCAAGGCCGATGAAGCTCAGACTACATTCAAATCGGACACTTCGCGACCTCCATCGTATGAGGCCGCTTTACGAAGCCTAGATAAACCTTCGCCAGTTCACTGGACTCAATATGCATGATTTATCAGTGCGTTTTATTGAGAGTGATAATAGACTTGTATAAGAAAATTGCTTGTGAATAATTAAACCGACCGAAAGATGGCCGGGAAATGCTAGCAGGCGTGCAAGACAATCATTATCTGGGCGAGGTTTCGCCTAAGTTTGGGAAAACGGAAATTTTTTTTCGGGGGAAATCGGATACGCGCACGGAACTTTGTGTTGCTGGGGGGCACAAAGACTTATTTATACATAGTTTCACTTTTAGTGTTTAGAAGTAGTTTTGCTCCGGAAAGGTGCAGTTTATCTGGATAAACCGGAATTTGGAGTTATTTGCCCAGTGTTTCTCAATTTCTCAGCCCGGCGGTTGCTAACATGTAACTTGAGTTGTTGAGCGTAAAAGGAAACAAAAATAAACAAGAACTTCCTGGGAGTTTCCATCCGGACATTTTTTGCACTTCATTAACCAAGATACTCTTGATTGGATGATGACTTGCTCATGCTTTCCTGCAGTTTTTGGTCAACTTCAATCTTTCATCCAGTCAATCAGTCCAATCACTTCCAGTCCAAATATATTAACGAAAAATAGTTGCTTTGACTGTTGCCTTTTTTCCTCCGAAGATTTGCAATTTATAAAGCCGGAAAAAGTGGAATAACAACGAACGTTGGGCATAAAACCACCAACTTAAGGGCTGTTTTGATTAGGAATCACCGTAAAACCATGCCAGCACTTCTCTAGGCCGCTGTGGAATTTGTCAATTTCAGACCTAATTTAGGCTATTTACCGTTTGAATTTTTCAGTGGTAGCCACATATAGATGCACATGGCCCGGATAAGCGCCATTGAATAATAAACACTTTATCCATCGAGAATTTTCAATCATTGTTTAATTTGTCATTTTTATTTATCACACATTCGATAAAGCCAGAAAACTCAGCTGCACTGCAATTGAAACTGCAAAAACTGGGAACAAGACTTGAAACTTTTTATAGCATCCAGGGGTTCTCTTTAGATTGGGATTATCAAAAATGGGTAAAAAAGTTGGTAGAAAGTGCAAAATCATTCACTAAGGTCGCGACTCAAACCATTTACAGTGAGTACATTTACAGAGGGGCGATTCCACACGAAAAATCAATGTCTCAAGTTCAAATAGCTTGGACAATTGAATCACCCGATGAATTTCCAAACCGATACCCAAAATAGTGAGAAAACTGACTTGATTAGATAAATCGAAACCTTGCAGGGCAGAAAAAGGCAAAACTTAATTTTCAATCGACTTACCACATTCGAGTTGCACAAAGCGGGACTGCGGACAAATTGCAGCAGTTACTTTTAAACAATAAAACATACTGAACGATGCCTGACAAAGTGCAATTAACAAATAACGATCGAAATGCTTGAGTGGGTATGCGGAGGATGTGGAGAGTTAAATTGATATCAATTAGAATAGAGGATTTTCGATAAAATCACCGGCTTCAACGGAACCGCTACTAATTTTTCCTGATTGCAAATTTGGAATTAGGTGCCGAATGAACAACGCAATAAAGCATACATTCGGATAGTTTTGCCGCGCTGAGCATCAGTTAAAAATAGACCTTTGATTTTGGTGCATTGTTGTGAAGTCAATTGGAGGCTTATTTGGGTCCTTGAATGGGGAAATTCCAACTTTTCACAATCAACTTCAAGGAGAAAAGGCGTCAAAACTAATCCCGATATTTAATCACCAATTTGTTGTTAAATATTTTTTTTCATTCGGATTCAAACAGTTTCTGGGGCCAGAAAAGCAGGTTCCACGTATGCGAATCATTGCTGATATGCAAAACGCAAAGAGCGCCTAGAAAGGTGAATGGCATCAGGTAACTTTTGCTTTTTATATGGACTATAAATAATGCAACACTTAATGAAGAGCGGGACCGGGTTTTTCCGTATTATTAGATATGAATCTGTGGGTTTGAAAAAATCATAAGCTCGGTGGCGCAATCAACTATCCATTAGTGGTGTAATAGCAAAAATAGCCCATTTTCTACACGCATCTAAGCTAAGTAAACTTCTAATTATATGCGTGAGCAGGTAGAAACTCAGGTAAAATTTCCGTAAGGAAGTCAATATTTGCATGTTGCATGCTATCTAAACCTGCGACAAATTGGTTCTACTGGTAGGTATTTGGGCTACATTTTTTCAACCTGATGATTCTTCGGGGTTTCTCTGAAGATGCACGCCACTGTGCCAGGAAAACGCCAGGAAAAACGCGAAAAATCCTCCTTTGGCATGCGAATTGAATTCAAACACAACAAATTGAATTAATTGTGCAACTGGCGCTGCTTACGTTGCAGCTGCATCCACTAAATATTATAAATAACTTAATCGAAATCGGCCGCGGATCAAGCGAAAATGACCCTCCATTTCCGCACAAGTTGCTCGATTCGGAATCATTCAAAACCCGCCCAGAGAAAAATGAGTGAACAAACCAGAAACTGAATGGGACGAAACAACACAGACCACCACAGAAAAACGTCCGAAACACTTTTCCGAAAAAGTCACCAAAACTAAATCGGTTGTGGCCCGATAAACCTACACACTAATTTTATTTTAAATACCATGATTTTGGGAGAGGATAGGTTCGAGGAGTTTTAGCACCGCGAGATAATTTCGCATTTTATATGAGAAGACCGACAGCATTGGATGGAACCTTGAATTAATCTCGGAACATTATCAAGGTCTCAATTGGACGGACATTAAATGTGGGTAATTTATGTAGGCACATGTGACTTTAAAAAAATATGTGTGGAAATAATAAGGAAACAGGAGGCAGAAAAAATAGCGATTGATGCACAGCTGGACCAGAAATTAATGACCAAAACGCAGGTACATGAACGAAAAATGAATAGAAACGGAAAAATGCATCTGGATTTCATCTGTCTTGTAAGGCGGGCATCTGCGTTGGGAATTTTAATTATAACACGCAAGGTAAGAGGTAGGTAGTCACTTTCCGGCCGAGCAGAGATGCTCGCTTAATCTCAAATTGAAGTCATTTTTAGCACACTTTTTAATTCTTTAAAATAAAATGTCTTGATAGCTCCAAATTTCCCCACCCCAGTGCCATTGCTTTCAAGGGGTTATAGAGGAGAGTACGATGAAAATAATCTAAAACATTTTTTTGAAAACTTCTACCAAAATCTGTAAGAACACCAACAAAGGTCTAGAGACACTGGAGGAGAGGAAGAGGTATTTTTGACGTCAATTTTGAAACACCCTGTATATCGCAACCGTGACTTTTGTGCCCAGTTGCTTTCGATTATTCTCAATTAATCACTGTATTTTTCTACCGAAATGTCTACATGAACAATTCAAACTAAAAAACTTCCCAAAAAATCAATCAGATATTTCGCCTTTCTGGCGCTTCTTTCTAGTGAATTTGTCAAATTTTCAATTAATTAAGTTCCTAGGCGTGGGAAAACTGCTAACAATCAACGGATGACTCGAGTTTTTAACACCATTACAATTGACAACTATTTAAAAAATTATTGCATAATTAAATTGATTAAGGCAACAGTGGGCGAATTAAATACCTCGTTCACTCGCATAAGCCGAACATCCGATTAAACTTAAGCCTTAAGCTATTTTTTTGCAAACTCAGCCACTCAATCGGGTGACTGGAATTTTTCAAAATCACTTTGACCCGCGCCAATTCGTCTGCCCGGGCTAAATTAGTCGGAAAAAATCACGCAAATATCCGCCTCGTACTATGTATACAACTGCGATAAAGTTCGTAATAGCTTTCGGATATTATGGTGCGGACTATTTTTAACTAAACTACGTAAGTTTGCGAGTTCTTCGGCTGACGCCGACTTTAAGCGAAGCACTTCAACGCTCATAAAAACAAAACATATTATAGCTTGGCCTAGTTATGATAAATCGGAAAAATGTAAATTGCGGCTGATAAATGAATCAGTGATGACGAGAAAATAACATAGAAAATACGTCGAATGGCTCAAGAGTGCAACATTCCCATAAGAAGATGGAAAAATTAACCAGAGTGACAAATAGAAAAAATTATCTGATTAATTTTTTGAGCGTTTAGGCCGCGGTGGAAGAGAATTTCTTCTTCGGAAGAACCTCCAGAGGTGGCTTGCTCGACTCAGCACCACTCTGAAGATGCTCGCCACTCGTGCTTGCAAAACGTCAGGAAGAAATTCTCTTCCACCGCGGCCTAAAAGCTCCTAAAACTCGTTTGATGCAAGTGCAACCTAAAAAACGTCCCCTAACAAAACGAAGAAGCTGAAGCGTTTCTGAAGTAATTCAGTAATTCTGTTCAGAAAATGCACATGGAAAAGCTATGTCTTCATCCCCCTTGTAGTTTTATAGAAAAAACCTGTTTAAAACGGTGACCAATTGGCATCAATTGAGAAATCTCACCTTATGTCATCAAACAAGTGAAGCTCTAAAACAACGTGAAGAAATCAAGTTGTCCTCGTTGGGTTCACTGTGTTGTTCACATTGTGTTTCAGCATGCCGCAATCTCACATAATTAGCGAAAAGAAACGCCGAAGAAACGAACTGAAATTTTGCACAAAACCACGTTCACTTTGACACCGCCGCTCTTCGACTATGGCATATTTCGAGTGCGTTTTATCATTGTTACTCGATCTACCAGTGTGCAGGTAAAGACCTTGGCCGTCTAGATGACGATGGCCTCTCTTTGGATGCCCGACTGCTGGTTTGCCTTACTTCATCACCAACCACCAACTCGGACAATGTACGAAAGTGAAATCGCCAGACAGAAAGCAAAAGCACGCAAAAGTTTATTTATTTATCAGCTTCATTGTTGCTGCATCGTATCAATGCCATGTGCCACTGGGTGTGGTCTCTTAACATCGACGAATCCTTCATTTTTAACTCTTTTTTTAAGTCTTTGCTCAAGATGGAAAATTCACACACACACAATTGTGAAAAAAGAAAAAACTATGAAGAACTTACTGACTGTTGAGTTTTTCAGGCTTTTAGCACAAGCGGCTTTAACATTTTTCAGAAAATTCACCCGCATAACCGGCGATTTAGCGCTTGTAGGCCTGCAAGTGTGCCTATAATTCACATGGCGCTGTCAAAAAAAGGGCCTACTATACGAGCAGTCACGACGAATCCGGAAACTTTAAAAACTTGCATTCGAAGTGCGAAGTGAATTTGATTTAGTTCTGAAAACTACGGTGAGGAAGTAAAATTTATCCAAACTGATAAAATCTTCCTGGCGTTTTGCAAGCAAAATTCTTTTCCTCGACAACCTAAAAGCGCGAAAAACTCATCAGCTTCAATGATGCAGATGCAAGGAAGAATAATTAACTTTTCAAGAGTTTTTCAAAGAGGCGGCCCAATGAACACTTTGATATCGAGTCATTGAAAAGTTGAACTGTCGACCAACCAATGATGTAAAAATATACCACGAGAAGAATGTTTGGACAAAAGTAAAAGGGAAACTTTTGAAACGAGGAAAATAAATATTTATAAATAGTAAAGACCTTGTGTAAACTGATTTATTAGTATTTTTTTAATAATCATTATTAGTCGATTCCGACCGCATTTTTCAAGATATCGAGCTGAAACTTGGCGCAGTCAGAGGGTTTTCCTCTGGTAAGGCAGCTATTGGCAGACATCAAAATGGGTGCAAAGTTTGCTCCAAAATAGAACTTTTTCAAAAGGGGAAATATTTAGCTCTATTCCAGACCAAAAAAAATCAAAGATTGGACCAGGGCTTCGCCCCATTTCAGGCGCTTGAAAGTTCAAACCGTCATATCTTCAAAACGGCTGAAAATATCCGAATAATCCTAATAACCTTTTCGATAGCCAATCTCAAAATACATCTTTCGTCAATCAGATATTTCCCGGTTCCAAAAAGGTAGAAACGCAAATGTCAAAATTTGGGGACTCTCGAAACTTTGAACACCCTGTAGCTCACATAGCGTTTGAAATATTCAATCATTCGTTAGAACCTTTTCGGTAGTTGGAATCGAGAACTGTCCTTTGGCAGAAAAAAATATGGACACATTTTAACCTCCAACGCAGTAAAACAGGAAAAATTTAATCGACTGGATGGAAAAATGGGTTGCTAGCTTTTGCTCTTAAAGTCTCTTAAATGCCAAAAAATAGCAAAAGACTCATAATCAATTTCAAGGAAAAGAAACACAACGAAAAGCAAATAAAAAGTTATCAAATACAGTCTCATCGCCAAAGAAGTTAGAAGCGGGCGTTTAGAAGCTGAAGTGCTCTCGTTAAATAATCTTTTCAAATCGCGAAATTAGAGACGATGGTCTTTTTTAAGACATTTATTTTAATTTTGTTACATTTGAGACATAAAAATAGTCACCATTGAGCATTATTACAGTCCAGTCCTAATTAGAATGTTATTGCCCGGCTGATGGTTAATTTGGCATCACTTAAAAATTGTTCTTAATGCATAATTGATGGGGTAAACATGTGACCACAAAAGCTGTTCAAATTAAAATCTTATTAAGCTTAAGTAGCCGTAAAAGAAAATATAAGGATTACAAAACTAGCAAAAGACTCATAATCAATTGCAAGGAAAAGAAACACAACGAAAAGCAAATAAAAAGTTATCAAATACAGTCCCATCGCCAAAGAAGTTAGAAGCGCGCGTTTAGAAGCTGAAGTGCTCTCGTTAAATAATCTTTTCAAATCGCGAAATTAGAGACGATGG